AGAGAGAGAGAGAGAGATAGACAGACAGAGAGAGAGAGAGAGACACAGAGAGAGAGAGACAGAGAGAGAGAGAGACAGAGAGAGTAGGAGGGAGCAAATGAAAAGAGAAAAATGATAGCGCAGCAGAAAAGAAATAAAAAATCTAAAAGAAATGAGAAAACATTCATAATAATTGGAGGAAAAAAAAGATTTAAAAGCAAAACATGCTAAAAGCATTGATAAAAAGTGACAAGAGCAAGTTTGTACAGACAAAACTTCATTGAATTCCTGAAAACAAAGTCAAAAATAGACTCAGAGCAGAAGAAAAGCAAGCGCATGTTCAGACTTAGAACAAGAAAAGGTATACACAAATCGTAAGAAACTTGCAACTCAAAAATTTCTTAATAACTGCTGTTTCTTATCTGTGGTATGGGTCGCATATGATCAAGAAATATTTTGGCTAAATTCCAATTCTAAATGTTGAATTGGAATTTAGCCAAAATATTTCTTGATCATATGCGACCCATACCACAGATAAGAAACTGCAGTTATTAAAACATGTTGAAATAAGCAAGCAAAATTACTTATTGTACGTACAACTGTTAAAGAATGAAACCATGAAAATTTTCTTCTCTGTCCTGAAAATTTTTTCTTTCTGGTTTGAGTACACTTGAAAAACGATCTATGTGTCATGGCGCGGTGGAATCAGGCGCTCGTCAATTTTGGGGCATAATATTATGTATATACAAAAGTTGTCTAAAACACACTATGAAAATCATCATAGCTACAATAGTTATCGCTGTGTGTGGGAATAATATTATGTATATACAAAAGCTGTCTAAAACATACGATGGAAATCATCATAGCTACAATAGTTATCGCTTTTTTTCAACAATCTGTTTAGGGTGTGTGCAAAAGGCAAGGAAAACCAATACAGTACATAGCTACACATTATTGCTACAGCACCAGCGGCACCACAGAACATTCGTTTTTCAATTACCTTTAACGTATGTACTATCGAAATACCACCAGATAACTCTCAGAATATTGACTGAGTATTTAGTAGGGTTGGGGCGAGCGGACGGACGGGTTCGTTACTCGCGGACTCAGTCAGAGCGAACGGGTAACGGACGGCCATGAGAGCGAGCTGCGAACCTCAAGACAGTTCGTTTTTTGGGTCCGCTCCACAATTTGACTCTCTCAGCGAGCGGACTGCGGACCTCAAGCCTCAAGTCAGTTCGTTTTTTGGGTCCGCCCCACAATTTTATTCACTGGGCAGGCGGGCGAACAGACGAACTCTAGCAGACGAGATACTCGACGCGAGATTAGACCCGTCGTCTATTGTTTGTTAATTAGGCCTGATGTTTCAAACCACTAGCGGTGCCACAGGGAGTGAGAAAGGCTGGTGACGTAGTACTATGTGTGTAACCTTTCACCTCGTGCGTGGGGCACACTGTGTACGTTCCAATTATCTCAAAGGCCGGGGGAGGGGGGGTGGGCGGAAATTTCCGTCATGAACGCCTAGCTACAATGTGAGGCAGGAGGGTGATTTTTTAATTATTT